TTTCTCAATTGAATTTCTGTCTTAGTAATTCTTTTTAAATTATTCACCAAAAACTCTCTATCAGCTCCTGCTCTTAATGCTTTAGCTGCTAACACAAAAGTTCTAGGAGAAACATCAGTGTTGGTGAAGAATGAACTATCAGTCATTATTCCTAAAAAGAAGTAAGTCGCGGCCTTACAATTGATCTCTCACTGGTAATAATCGCAAATTTGAACTAGTTGAGCGCAACAAGCGGCATAACTTCCATCTACCCAAGCTAAGTCTGTATAAAAATCAAGATGACTATCATGATGATCTATTCTTATCACTGCCCCTCACTTCTTAACTCCTAAATTCTTAAAATATTCCTGAAACTTTTGAGTTCTATCTCCTACCCCTGAATCAAGGATTATAGCAGCAGCATTCTCATACTTAAAATCTGAGGACAATACATCAAACTCCATATGCAATCAGGGAAAAACTCCCTGACTATCCCCTACTACACGAATATTTTTAGAGTTGTATTGAGTCTTTAAAACCTCTTGCAATCCAAAGGCTCCTCCCAAACAGTCTCCATCGGGTCTCTCGTGAATAAAAATAACTATCTCACTGTAATTTTTTAAAAATCTATGAAAATTCTTTAAAAATTGATCCCTCTCCCTAACCTTTTTTGTAATAATTCCCTCAGCTGCTTTTTTCTTAAAAAGCAACTTTAACTAAAAAACTAAAAACGAGTCAATTATTTTAATTTTACTGTAGAAATGCTCTCTAGAGAGGACCAAAAAACTCATCAAGCTCTTTAATAAGTCCATCTTCATCATTAGTATATTTGGAGATTATTGATGCTTCTTGTTGAAGTAAAAAAGTAGCATTAGCGAGCGCACAACCTCTTACTCCTCCCTGCATCATCGGGACATCATTGTAATTATCTCCGAAGGTTAATATTTTGGGGAAATCAACACCGTAATAATTAGCTGCAAATTTCACAAAACTGAACTTATCTTCCTTATCATTTTGTATCTCTAAGTTGATTAAACCTGGATAATAAAAAACATTAACTTTAGGTGCTGGCTTAAATCTCTTAATTTGTTGAACAACTTCATTAACCCTCTCTCTATCCTCTTCTCTATAAAGCAATTTAATTCCAACTAAGATAGAATTGCTATCTCTAAAAGTTTGTCAAATTTTATTAGGTTGAGCAACATCCAACGGAATATTCACCTTATTAGTAAGTAAGCATCCAGAATGCAGCTTAGGTAATACATATGGAGAATGCAGCAGATAATTTAAAAATTTTTCCCCCAGGCAAGAAATAATTAAATGTTCAGTTTTTGGGTTATATATATAAGCTCCATTTAAACAAGAAATGTATCCACTTAAATCTAAAGCTTCGTAAATATCTTTGCAATCAGCTCAATTTCTCCCAGTTGAGAAAGTAAATAATACATTAGTTCTCTTCTTTTGAAATCTCTTTATATATTCAATTGATCTACTAGAAGGTTTTCCCAGACTATTACAAAGAGTTCCGTCTAAATCAGAAATAACTATGTATTCGTAATTGAGCATGAATTGTATAAAATTTTTAGTTCTCTTCAGTCAACTCTTTTAAACTCTTCGAGAAAAGATCAAAAAGCATTTTGATTATTAAGTGATTCAATATCCTTTTTGGACTCCTTCTCTAAATTTAAGTTATAAATTGAGACTGAAGTGGCAAAACCTACTGTTCTAACGAAAGTGGCAACTAACCTATTACTATTTCACCTACTAGGTTTTTGTGCTAAATATATTGAACGTAAGTTCTTGTAACTTAATTCTTTAGAGGCTAAATTATCTTCAACAGATTTAGGTAATTCCGGAACGACATTCGAAAGTAAAAGCTCCCATTTAATTAATATTTCTCTCTTCTCAAGATTTAAGAGTGCAAGATTTAATTTTTCTTCATCAAAAGCAATAAAAAGGGAAACATAGTTAGGATCACACATTCGGAACGAAAGACATCACCTGTCTAACATCTATTTTCAATTCAGTCAATTTCTTGGAAAATTCTAAAGGGGGCATAGTTCAAACAACAACAGGTTTAGTAGTTCAGGGATCTATAAATAAAACACTAAAAGAGTGAAGATATTGTCCAAAAGAATCTCTGTCTAGTTTTTTTCCATAAATAGGATCATTTAGAATCGCACAAGACATTGTAAAAAGATGAGCCCTTAACTGATGTGTCCTCCCCGTTTTAAGACTTAAAAGGACAAGACTAGAATCTATTGTCTCAGCATAAGTCAGGGCTGGTTTAAATTTTCTAGAATTAGTCGCTGAAATTCTTAATTTATCTCCTCTATCCCGTCCTAGCGAAAAAGATATTTTAACTTTAGGATAAGGAAGAGGTGCTGAAAGAATAGCCAAATACTTCTTCTCTATCTTACGTTCTTCAAACAATGCCTTTAAAGTTAAGAGAGCCATCTTACTTTTAGCTACTAAGAATAAACCACTAGTATCTCTATCTAATCTATTTACCAAAAAGAGTTTTTCCCCATACTTGGCTTTCAGCGCTCCTATCACTGTATCTTTTTCGTAGGTAAATCTATCTTTATGAACTAACACTCCTGAAGCTTTATTGACTACTAAATAATGTGGAGTCTCATAAGCTATATCTAGCTCCAATTTAAGTGAATACTACTAAGTTAAATAGGGAAAATTCTGAGGCACTACATTCAAAATTTTCTAAAAAAATGATTCACAATCTTATAAAGTATAAACCTCCTAAACTATTTGCTGGATGCTATGTAGAAATAGATTTAGTCCAAGGAAAATTCTTTGGAGATAAAACAATAGGTCAACTAGTGGGAAGATCGGGAGAGCGAAAAGAAGAATTCTTTTCACTTACAGGGATAAAACCCCATATTGAAGACTCTAAGGAAAAACCTCTTCTAATACTGTCTAAATATAATGTTAGGGAGATTAAGCTTGCAACCATGCTTGGTCAGCGTTTTAAAACAAGTAAAAGCTGGTCTTCAAGTTCTATACATAAACACTTTCAACAGATACAACAAAAACTATCTGAAGAGGAAACAGAATTGGGCACTAAAGAATTGAACTTAATTGAGGCTGAATTCCTCCCTGACTCCTTAAAAAATATTGTCGGGAGAATGCAACACGAAAACTACTCTGAAAATCAGACACTACTTGAGCATTCAAAAGAAGTGGCGGCTGAATGTTACAATGCTGCTTCCTCACTACTTTTAGACACTCAAAAAACTTGGAAGATGGCATTTTTTCACGATATCGGAAAAGTTTTTTTGCCATACTACCTGCATAATTCACAGAAAGTGTTTCAGTATATTCCTGAATTAGATGACTCAGAAATCAGATCATGTATAGAGACTCATCATGATTCTCTTATTTCCTTTCAATCTCCTTACATTGCTTTAGTTTCCCTCTTAAATAAATTAATTTCTCAGTCACATTTTTTATCTAATTATTCTTACTCTGGAGAAATAAATCAATTAAAAATAAATATTAAGACTAAACTTGACGAACTCTTATCTACTGAAAAAACTTTCAAGAGCTATAGTTATCTCTCAGGTCAAATTCTCTGAATTATTCTTAATGCAACCGATTTGAGTATTTTCGAAGAGGAAAATTGAGTTAATTTTCTTACCTCCGTAAAAGAATGTGTTAATCAAGAAATAAGCAATTCAAACATAACTAAGGTAACTGAGGAAGAGTCTAGATTTAATATTTCAATCTATTGTTTGCCAATGAAGGATCGTGAGGCTACTATCACTAAATTAAGATTTCACCTACATCAAGAAAATGGCACAACAATATAGTAATTAGAGAGGAAATTGAGCAGCCTAAAAAGAAAAATTTTGATGACTATATATTTGAGAGTTTGATTCTCAAAACAGTGTACAACCTCAAATTACCGAGAGAATATAGCATTCACTTCTCTCCTGTTAGGAAAAAATTCAATATTGAGTTAAGTTCTCTCTCTGGACTTTCAAAGAATAAATTGTTAGAGTTAATGAGTGCTCTGAATCCAATTCTCAGTTGTTGCGCCTCCCTTTCTGGTTTTAAATTGATTGACGAAAATAAAAGAGAACGTAGAGAAACAATCTCTCTACTCTTAAGTTCGATTTACTCTGAACAAGAGGACTCCAAGTGAAAATTTAACTTCGAAAAAATGGATATAGCTCTATCCTTTTATCAAGAAATATTCACTCCAACAAATTTAGAAAATGAGAATAACGATAACTCTAAGCTAGAACATTTATATCAGCAAATTTCTATAATCAAAAAGCAAGAAACGGCAGAATTAGGAAGAGATATTCTAGTGAATTTTTTAGAGTATTCTCCAGAAATAATAACGGAAGAATTTTGCTATCTTGTAGGGAAAACTAAGTATTTTTTTTCATACAACCAGAATCTACTAGAACATCTTCTAGAAGTCAGTGTATTGAGTGCTAATTTCGCTTCACAATTGAATCTAGATGTTAAGAAGGCTAAGCGGGCAGCATTTTTTCACGATATAGGTAAGATAGTGGGACAACACTCCAATCATGTATCTACAGGTGTTAAATTAGCTATCCAACTAGGATTAGACGACTATATCATAGAAACTATTCAGGCTCATCATAACTACGAAATCCGATGAGAAACTCCCTATTTGCCAATTGTTCGCGCGATGGACAAGCTCTCAGCGGGAAGATTAGGAGCGAGACCTCTTCAACTAGAAAAAACTAAGGAACGAAATGAAAAATTGCAATCTCTCCTAGCTACTTTACCGGAAATTTCTAAAGTCGAATTCTTGGCGGGCGGGCACATCATAAAAATACATCTGAATCCCTCATTATTTGAGCTAAATAAATTAGAAAAGCTAAAATCCAGAATTTCTCAATTGGTGAGTGAGGCGGAGCTCAAATACCAATACAACTATCAATTTTTACTCAAATTAGATTACGATGATTCTTTCATGTTAGAAGATTATTCGAAAACTCTCTAAGATTTAGTTAAGGAAAAAAGCTGGAGGCATAGTTCAGTAGCAGAACACTCCCCTGATAAGGGAGAGGTCAATGGTGCGATCCCATTTGTCTCCACCAGGGGGATTTAGCTCAGTTTGGAAGAGCATCTGATTTGCACTCAGA